TCTTGCTCTTTTTGCTCCTCTTCCTCCTCCTGTTCCCCTTCTCCTTCTCTGTATCTTCCTCTTCCCCCTCTTTCTCCTCCTCCTCCTCCCCCTCTTCCTCCTCCTTCTCCTTCTCCTTCGTCCTCCACCACCTCTTTTCTCCCCTAAGCTAACTCTGGGGCTGCCTCTGAGCAAATCTGAAGTTTTGTTTAAGTTCACCTTGATTTCTATTTCCTTCCCTGGTGGCTCCATCCCCTTTGTTCTGGTTAGAGGCTAAAGAAAAACTGAAAAATGTAAAATATCTGGTTTTGTGAGAACTGAGACAAGAAGCATTTGGCTCTTGTTACTTCCTCTGCCTTTGGAGACTAGGAATTCTTGCCTATGTGTGCACTAGCGTGTGCCATATGACCAGAATGCAAGGGGAATTTAGGAATCCTAGATCCTCAGAGATGAAAGAAGTTTGAAAATTAGGCTCCTAGCTTATAAGACAAAACAAGAAAATGCCTGCTGTATGAAAGGTGTAAAGACTGAAGGAAATTCATGGATGGCATTGTGGGTAGTCTGGCTCATTGTAAAGGTCTGATGAACAGGAACAATTATTATTATGATGGCAGCAGAAGTGACAACACTTTCCTTTCCCCTCACCCCAGATATTTTTACTAACATTAATAAAAAATGTTCTAGTAACTAGAGCTAATCATCAAGGCAATTAGAAGGTGGTGACCTTCCATTCTTCAGTAGTATTGGAGCAGAAACATGTCACATTGGGAATGTTCTGAGTGAAATGTCTCATGACATAGATGCTGGGCTGGGTGACCTCTTTTAGCCAAATTGCAAACTCCAGCACTGACTGCAGTGGGTGGCTGGGAGGCCCTGACCTCATTCTGGCTGGGATCCCCTGCTTCCCTCATCCGAGCTCCTGGGGGCGGGCGCTCTCCACACTGACCAGACAGTCTGCACGATCCAATCATCAAGAAACAGTATTTATACCGACATCAAATACAGTGAAAGCAGGGGTTATACTGTGGGGGGAGGGACATACAAAGCAACAAAGAAATAATCTTATAAATGCATTAGAAACAAATGCATGAAAGAAAAAAACCATTTAAATACATATCTTAGGGTTCATTTTCCTAACATCACCTTATCCGACCTTTTCTGCTTGACTC